ACCAAAGTGTCTGTAATTTGTTTTGACTCTGACTACTTTCCATTGTTTTAAGTAAGGAGAAACACCCGCTGCTCATGCAGAACAGGGCAGAATGCTGTGCCATAAGGACTGTATAATGAACTGTTCTCTCTTTGCAAAGATATGAATAAATGTGCCGACTGAGTGAAATCCATCGATCTCTGTTTACTTTAATTAGGGTGGTTAAAAACTCTGTCATGTTCTTCTTTTTTACAAAGGGCACACAGACACAAACAAGCACTCAGGTGGCTGAATCAAATTTTTATTTATTTGTTTACATCCCATGGGACGAGAATCATGTTTATATTTTAAGTGAAACTTCAATAGTGAAATAATTTTTTTTACAAACAAGACAATAAAAAGCATGAGAAAAAACATAATTAAAATATTCCTGAATAGAGTACACAATCAGCTGCAAGAGTTTTTTTTTTTTTAAACCAAAAATGTCTTTACCCCACTATTATATCAGAAAAAGCAATAAAGTGGGTTGAGTTACCAATTTCAAAACTGGGTCAGGAGCTTCACAAAGATTCCTTTCATACAGTGCCTTACGTTTCCCCCTGTATTTCTTTAGGTTGTTTAGTAGAAGGTGTTCAATGCTGTCCATTATGTCTAAAAGTCGCTTCCACCCCATAGTTATTAAGGGCACCAGAGGAGTGTCAAAGCTCAGAGATGGGGTCTCTAACAGCCATTAACCTTGTGAGGCAGCTTAAAGACAGAAAGGTTTCAGCTTTTCCCAAAGTTGAAATCTGGCATAAGGAGTTGGATCATTTTCATTATAAAAAGAGCGATTACATATGAACATGTAAAAAAATCAACAGTCCTTATTTTTCTCTCTTTATACCACCAATGAACGATAGTATTAGTTGCAGAAGGACCATCTGGAGTACAACATATACTGCTGAGTTAAATAAATAATTTTTTGACATCATAATTTTTTGGTTAATATCATCTAAAAGGAAACCAGAGATTAGCTCAAAGTAAAAGACTTAAAAAATTAGCTCCATTACAATGCCCTTTTATCTCCCTTTGGAAATAAAACAAGAAATAAAACATGATTAATAAAGTAGGTTTAAATAAAAATTTCTGGTTTTATTTCTTTGTGGATCATTCCCGACATCTGGTGAAAATGTCATTTAAATAGCACTTCTAGAAATATACAGTATTTACTCAGAAAAGGGTAGTGTTCAATACTTGTTTCACGCACTTATGTCATCTCCAAGCATTTTAGAGACAATTCAACCAGATCATACAGTTAATTTGGTTCAAAGTTTTCTATCTATGTAAAGCTGATAGCATTGACATGAGAGAAGTTCTGTGTAATTTGGCTAAATAAAGGCTTCACCTCAAATACAGTATACCTTGTGTGCATCACATATTTTTCAGTTCTTTGTTTATATTATGATCTCACATTTAAACGATGAAGTATGGTTCTATTGTGGATGATTGTGGCCTAATTTACCAAATGAACTTGAACTAGTTAATTTATAGCTCTGTGAACATAGTTAATTTTAAAAAAAAAGTGAACGATGAAGTTCATGTTCATCTGTGTGAACAGTACTTTGAGATTGTTCTTTTTAATTATGAACTAGCACATCATTGAGATCAAAAATGTTGATCAAAATGGAAAGCAAAGATTTCTTTGCAATACAACTTTGATATTTTCAAGTTTTGATTTTGACTTGAGTTTTATGCAGGTTTTGATTTTGTACTTCAACCACATGACATTTCCAAAATATTTTGTGTTAATTTTTATTTTACTTTCTACCTCTGCCTGCTCAGACACATCTTTCCCTCGTCCCCGGCTTTCTTACTGTTTTCTTTCTTTTTACCTACTTATCTCTTAGCCAAAGTGACAGAAAGTTGGATGAAATAAAATTCTTCAAGGATTCTCTACCTCGACTAGTTTTTAAGCACTGAATTTAATTATAATCTCATTATGAAGAAGAAGTACATATCCCCAAAACCTGCCTCATTTCCCCAAACAGGACTTCAACAAGCTTCTACAGAGGATGGGTGTCATGGAATTGAAGATTAACCAACTGGAAGTGAATGTGAAAGTAAATATTTGTTTTGGAAATGATATGACCCTGCCTAGTGCTCTCTATTGGCCAGCCGCCACTGCTTATACCCACAGCAAACCATTTCAATGTATAACCATCTTGTCACAGATTATATAGAAGAATATAGGAGAATCAAAGATAGAGACCAACTTCCAAGCCTCAGTATAAAAATGCACAGTGGGGTTTTGGTACTAAGATATTATCACATTGCTGCACTCAGAGCCGATTCAGAATGTTTTAAAGGTCATAAATTCCTTTTAAACAGGCAAATTTGAACAAAAACTAAGATAAGAAGGGATTCCTCCTGTCTTCCAACTCAAAGCCAGGCTTTCCAGAAGAACAGAAGCTCTTAGGCTATCACACACCTATTCATGTATTTTTCCTTCAAACCCTTTGAATCTTGTTCCTGATTTCTCTTTAACTCAGTTTCTTTTTCTTTGAGCTGTTTTTGTGTTTCTTCCAGCTCTTCTCTTAATTGCTGTTTGCTATGTTCCAGCTTGCTAATTTTTTCTTCAAATTGCCGTTTCAGGTTCCGTAATTCCTCCCTGTGTTCTTCCATCAGACCTGCAAAGTTTGATTTGTATTTCTCTCTGAAATCGTTGTGCTTTTCAGCTTGCTCTCTAGCCTTCTCTTGGAATTTTTTCTTAATTTTTTGAGATTCCTTCTCATATTTTTCATCTACCTCCCTCAGTTTTTCATTCTCATCTATAAGGTTTTTTCCAATTTTCTCTTTTTTCATATTATACTCACTTTGAAGATCTGTAAGTTTTGATTCAGCAGTTTTTTGTTTGTTTTCCCGCTCTTTCCTGCGTTGTTCCCAGTATTCTTCTTGTTCTTTTTTTCTTTTCTCTTGTGCTTTTCTCAAGCTCCCAAGTTCCTCTTCTTTTTTTGGATCTGTTTCACCATTTTTCTCCAGTTCTTCCTGCAGTTCTTGCAGCCTTTTTTCAGACTCTTGATTTATCATCACCTGCTCTATGATCTTCTTCCTATCTCTTTCTAGCCTCCTTTCATTCTTTCTCTTAATCTTTTCACTCTCACTGTTGACTTTAATCTCCAATTCTTTCAGTTGTTTTAAATCACTTTCTCTCTCTCTTACAAGGTGAGCTCTTTGTTCCTCCAAAGTTTTTTGCAACTCGTTCAATTCTTCGTCCCGTTGTCTGTTGAGTTTTTCCAGCTCTTTCTTGATCTCTTTCTCCTTTTCTTTTAGGATTTTGTCCACCTCTTTCTGGATTGCTGCCTCAGCCTCATCTAGCATTTCATTAGTGAAACAACCACCTCTGTTTATCTCCACCATCTTATCAATCTTTTCTATCAGTTCAGAGACCTGTTTCTTGTTTTCTTTGTCATAGTTATTAAGCACATGGTACCTTCCTCCACAATCTTCAATTAGATTCTTAATGAAATCCTCTGTTTTTTCAATATATTCTTCTACTGAGACCCTAAAATGATCTAATTCATCTCCTTTAGTGAAGAGGATGATGGTGAAGTGGTGAGAAGTTGATCCAAAGACCTTTTTCACCAGTTTCATCGTTTCCTTCTCCTCTGTAGTAAACCTATCAATCTTCAATACCAGAAGGAAGACATGAGGTCCTGGAGCCAGAAGACTGATGCACTTGGTCATTTCCTCATTTATTTCCTCATTGGACAAGGTTGTGTCAAATAGTCCAGGAGTATCGACCACAGTGACTTTACGGCCAGCAACTTCACCCTGTGCTTTCTGGCAGTACCTGGTGACTGAACTTTGGAAAGGGTTAGCTTTGAATTCTTCTCTTCCCAGAATGGTGTTTCCAGAGGAGCTCTTCCCACAGCCAGTCTTTCCTATCAGGACAATCCTAAGACCGTCAGGTTTCGGTTGCTCACCGGCAGCTGAAGGTAAAAAAAAACATACAATAAATGTTTAAGTGTAAGCTGTTTAAAGGTTGTGAGTTCAGGTTATTGATATTGCATCTTGACATGATGACCAGAGAAGGAAATACAGTTTGGTGAATAACCAGCTCTAAGATCTCTCCAACCCCCACCCCACTTTTCAGCCAACTCCTCCACAGGACCTCCCACAGAGGTGTGACCAACCAGCCCCTCTGCGTGAGGACAGTAAAAACCACAGAACATTATTTTTTCCCTTCTCTCTTTCCCATAAAGCCTGGGTCCACTTCCGCAGGGTCTCTTCCAGAATGGAGACCCGGGCCCAAAAGGACCCAGATCTCCAGAATTATCAAGGCTAAGTCATCATAATGACCTTTCAGAATCAACCTGCTGCAAAACAGACTTTCTGCAAACACATTTCTCTTGAGTTTCAGAACGTATAGAGCCAAACTGGATGAGAAGGACCCCTGGTGTGAGCCTGAGTCAAAGAAACCACTGGTTGCTGTTAACTGCTAAGCTGCAGCTGAATGTAACCAAAGCCTTCCAATGTACATGGACAAAAAGGTTGCTTTCTCCACTCAATCATTTCATGTGTTTACTGATGAGTAAAGACAAAGCTAACAGGATGGACTGCATACTTTGCTATAGTAACATGATATAACATTAGTGTTCATGTGTTCCTCAGATTCTCATTACATTTCAATTATCAAGTATGACCAAGAGTCATTTAGTGGAATCCTTATGTCTATTCGCTGCTAGCTATTTCAAAGAGGGTAAAGAACCATTTAACTAAACATTATTGGTTCTTGATTAAGCAAATCATTTAATAAAACATTATCTGGCCAATTAATGTTTTATTCACCTCATGGATTTGC